AGGGGCGGGGGCGGCCGGGGTGCGGGGCGCGCGCACCGTGACCGGAAGGCGACACGGGCCTGGGAGACTGACATCTGCGCATGCACTCACACGCACACCGCCTCGGCCGCAGGTGTCCCGCGAGGGTGTCCCCACCAGACGCCCGGGCCCCAGCCGCTCGCGGTGGGTGGGCTCGCAGCCCGCGCCCACGGCTCCGCGCTCTCCTCCTTCGCGGAAACCCCTGGGCGCCCTCCCAGGTGCCCAGCCTGCCCGCCCCGACCCGCCGCTTCCCTCCCGAGGTCTCGGTGCCCGCGGAACCCCATGGCCTGGCATATGGGCCGCCCACGTGCGGCCAGGAGGGGCCGCGGAGTCACCTTGCCCTGGCGCGACTGGGTGGAGGTCTGCGTGGTGTGCAGGTCTGGGAGAGCACTGCAGAGAAGCCCTGCCCGGACGGACCTGGTTCCCTTGGACAGCGCCTCTCTGCCTCCATTCTCCCCACCTTGAACCAGGGCAGACATCAGTCCTTCTTCTTGTGCCATATCTAGACACCTCTTATTACTTGATACGTATTTTCTTTAAATCCAGGACCCACTTTTTCCCCCTTAAACGCTTTTTTTAGAGAATCGTTATATCACTGCCTTAAATGGGAAACCAGTATCACTTGCCATAAATAGAAGGTAAGAATAAAAATAAGCACAAGGAAAACAAAGCAAGATTATTAAGCTCTAGCTGGAAGCTGTGACCTGCCAAGGCTTGAGATGTGCCCTTGGTGGAAAAGGGAGATTGGCAAGGTTGGGTGAGGCGTTAAACACCTATTGGCACCCGACAGAGACTTTCTCCTTCAGGGTATCAGGAGGCTTAAAAGAGCATGTTCTCACTGTGTGATGCAGTAAAGGGATGCAATACTGTGTCTGTCAAACATATTTTGTACCAGCTGGGGAACTGTTCCTCACTTCCAGAAACCTGGTTCCCCGGGGAAGTCTGCCAATCTCCTCCCGCCCCCAGACCTATCCTCCCCTCTTGGTGATAGGCAGTGGGGGTCTAGGGGACACCAAGCTGAGGGTCCAGCTCCTTTGGGTAAGAGATTGGCATTCAAGTTCTCCCTCTGTAGCCACCCAAAGATTTGGCCCTGGGCCTGTCATGGAAAGTCTCTGGGCCTTGGCTGTGTCATCTGTAAAATGGGCATGATATGCTAGTCCACAGAGTGACAGAAGTGCTAAAATGGCCTTGGACTTTGTAGAAAGTGGCTTGCTCTGCTTGTCCCGGTGAGGTCCTGAGATTCTCCAGGGAAGTTAACAGAGAAGATTGGGCAGGTAGAGGTGGGGGGCACAGCACCTGCCTGCTCTACTTTGCTTAATCTCCTAACCGCAGGATGTGAAATCTAGGCCTCAGAGGGGCTAAGGGACCTGCCCTAGGTCGCCCAGCCGGCAAGTGGCAGGATTCCAGCCCAGCGCACTTTCCACATGCAGACTTTGCTTCTAGGAACTGGCTTCAGCCCAGGAGGGTTTGTGCTCAGCTTGATGCACAGAGGCTGTGAGCCTTGAGCTGGCCGTGAACTTGGCAGCGGGAGGCAGAAAGGGTGGCATGCTTCACCTGGAGGGCTGGGGTCAGGAGGACTCAGGCCACTGGGCAGGTTCCCCCACCTCCACCCCAGAAACGTGGCAGGCGGCCAGCTCCAAGCCGGCCCAGGAACCCATTACCTGCTGCTTCAGCCGAGTCCTCCACCCTGACTGGGTCACGCTCCACTGACCATATCCCCACTTGAGGGGAGCTGCACGTGGAGCTGTGGGGCCCCAGGAGACTCACCTGCCCCTGCCCGCCCCCCAGGCAGAATGGCGCAGTCAGTAAGCAGATGCACATGAAGGACTGATGCCCGAGGAAGCTCCATGTGGCAAGAGTGCACCTCCCTGTGCCCGCTTTTCTATCCTCCCCTCATTAGCCTCTCATCTCACATGGACCATTTGTTGTCGCCATCTCCTTCCTGACTGGGCTCCCTGTCACCCCCCTCTCCCATAACCCGTGACCACTTTCATCTTTTTCTAAACGTGCCACCCTCTGCTTGAGAATTTCAATGGCTCCCCGTTGCTTAAGATATAAAATCTAAAGTCCTTAGCTCAGCATACAAGGTCTCCAGCCAGGACCATACCATCCACCATCAGCCTGCATTTCAGCTAAATCAAACCACTGCCGGGACCCTAAAGAAGCTGGCATTTCCCTCCTCCGGGCCTTTGTGTATGCCGATGCCTCTGTCTGGGATAACTTTTGTTCTATCTTTACCCATTGAAATTCCACACATCCTTCAAAGCAATGTCCGTGCTTTTCCCCCAAAGCCTCCTAGTCTTTCTAACGGTGTGAATCGCATCCTCTGGCTCCCATGACAACAAAACCTGGCTCTTGCTCTGTGGGTAACTCACCACCCCTTTAAGCTCAGTTTCTTCACCTGTAAAGTGGGTGTTATAATAGTAGCTACCTCTTGGGTTGTCAGGAGGATTAAAATATACTGTAAAGTGCCTCGCATTGGGGGCCTTGCATACAGTGGCCTTCGTCATGATTACTTCCTCTGTGGCCCGTGTCACATCCTGCCTCACGCTTTGGACACATGCCTTGTCACACCCATTGGCACGTGAGCTCCTTGGAGTGGGGACCAAGCCTGATTCATCTTCGTGTTCCCACGTTATTAAGGGCAGCGTCTTGCACATGGTGAGTTTTTAATAAATGCTTATTGAATTGTGCTCGGCTGAACAGCCTCGGAGCAGAAGAAATGCACAAGCTCTCCTTGGAGACAAGAGGAAGGGGAGGGCAGACACAGCGAGGCCAAGTTGCATTCAGTCCTCCTCACAGCCCCACTTACAGAAGGGAAAGCTGAGGCTCAGGGAGGCTGTTCAAAGCCAGGCAGCTCATAGAAGGTGAGCTGGGATCTGAAAGACATTTCTCCGAAGGGAAATAAGGTATTTGCCCAATCGATGTCCTGTCACATCCCCGGCAGCTTTTCTGGAACAGTGATTCCCATCCCTGGTGAGCATAAGAATCACCTTGGGGAGCTTTTAAATGATAACAAAGCCCAGGTTCCCACTCAGAGATGCTGATTTAATTGCTCTGGGGGCGGGCCTCATACCCACACTGTTTAAAGCTCCTCCAAGTGTTTCTAATGTGCAGCCAGAGTTGCCAGAGCAGTGGTTCTCCAAGTGTGGCCCCTGGACCAGCAGCATCAACGTCTTCTGAGACTTGTTACGAATACAGGTCCCAGCCCAGACCACTGAATCTGCAGCTCTGGGGCGGGGCCCAGCTATCTGGGTTTTAACCAGCCCTCCTGGTGATTCTGATGACGCCAGAGTTTGAGAACTACTGACTGGAAGAGTAGACTTAGCAAAACCTTAGCGGTCATGTGGCCCAACCTTCCTGTTTTGCAGACAAACAGATGGTTTTTGGCTTGACCAAGTTCAACATTTGTTAATGGCAGGCTAGGCCCAGAGCCCAGGTCCCGACTCCCAGCACAGTGCTCTTTCCTGCTGACTGCACCATCCAGGGCTGCACGGCCCCTCACTGTGTCTCCAGCCTCGGTAGGCCCAGGCATCTGGGCGGAGGTCAGTGGGTCACCAGCTGCACAAGCCCAGCTGGTTGAGGAGCACAGGGTCAGGCACCGGCAAGGGCAGAGAACAGTTAGCTGGAACAGACTGGCACTGTGCCTGGCATCACAGGGCCTCGCCAAACATCCCCAGAGGCAGAGTGACAAGGACGGTGACCCAGGCCAAAGGTCAGCAGGAGCGCAGTGGAACCAGCCATGCCCTGTGCCCTTCCCCTCATTTGGCCGCTTCTGCCTCCTGCTGCCTGCGATGCGGTCCCCCTCTCCATCCTCGGAGCCTCATGACCCAACCTTGGTCAGGAGCCTACGTTCTAATCCCAGCTAGACCAGAAGTTTGCTGTGTGACCTTTGAATGGGCTCTTAACCTCTCTGATCCCCATTTCCCAGCACTCTTCCTCCTTACCTCTTATGCTCTAGCCAAAAAGACTGGCTTGAAGCTCCCTAAGCTTGCCAGACGTCTGCACCTCCAGGCCTCTGCACACGCCTGTGCCTCTGCCTGGGAGGCCCTCTTCTCTCTGAGCTGCCACGCAGACTCCTAGTTTTCTTTCTGGAATCAAGCATCTCTGCCTCTGGGAAGCCCTGGCTGCTCCTTCATCTGTGCTCCACGGAGCTGCTCTGCAGGGATTCCTCACTCTCCAGAGTCGTGCCATCCAAATT